TTGATGTGTTGTGGCGAGTTCCATTCAATTGATTGTTCGACGATGATCCGTATTTTCGTGATTCGCTCTGTGAACAACCGATCCTTATGGAATCCGGTCTGTTGATCTCAAAGTTGGGCATTTATTCAGTCTTTTATCCTGTTCAGCAACACTCAGTTGGAAACTTTTCCTGATACTGACAGTAGTATGATGCATGTGTAATCCTCACGCTTGCTGAGATCTCCTTTGTTTGTTACTTTGATGAAATATCGTTCTTTCCGGTCCGTCGGCATTTGTTCTTCCTTCCAAATTCAACTGAACAGAACGTGGAAAATGTTTGGAGTTGCTTCTTTGTTAGACTTGAGTGCTTCAGCTAGTATATTATCAAGTCATGTTGCTTTCACACCTTCGATTTGTCTGATGTTCGGCCATCCCAATTTCCTCGATCGTTGGTGAAGCGAAATCTATAGGAAGGTTTGTATGTGCTGTTTTGATGCTCGACGGATTCAATCGAGCTCACCAATTCAAGTCTCCCTAAAATTGTGTTCTGCCCGTTTGTTCCTCTGTTCTTGAATCTCAGTGATTGATTTGAATTATTTGGCCTTGAAAACCCCCTCTGGCTTGCTATATTTCCCTACCAGTTTCCCAGTTAAGTTACGTAGTTGGTTCATATTTCCTTCTCTTGCAGCTTTTCCCGCTGGTCTTCCACGTAGTTCTGCTTGTCGACTCCAATGCTCCTCTTCACTTGCTTGTTTGCTTCTCAGTATTCAACATGTGCCTTGAATTTCTCTGCTCGTGTTCGGCTGTCATTAAATGTTGTCTTCTAGTTCTTTCTTCCTTGGATCCTGTCCAGGGTTTTGATAGAGATCCATTCTTTATGCTGATACTTCCTGCGGCCCAAAACCTCTTAACACGTCGAAGTTATTGTTATGACTTGTGGCCAGTTGATACATCACGTGCTTGGTTCACCAATCAGAACACGACTTATACAATCTATAAACTGTGCCGTAACAATTACTTACTGACCTGTATGAGCAGTCTAGCATCCTTATTAGTCCTTTTTCTTCCTAGCTATGCCTTTTGAGTCCAGAGCACCAACATCACCTTCCACTATATGAATCATTTATTTCAGACATACTTGGCTTATATAAAAGCAAACCAATCCGCATCATACCATAAAATAAAATAAAAAAACAATCGTGCAGGATCAAGCTCAAAAGTGGCTGCGATTGTGAGAGACTTTTACTAATAAATGGAGAGTATCTCGATAATAGTAAATCGTGTGGTAATGGTTAATAGGTCAAATAAAAGCCTACAATAAAGTGAATATGAATGTTTATGATCGAGTCGCTTAACAATTGAACAATAATAATATATGTATAATATCACTTCATAAATAATTTTTAACGGTTACCATTCATTTATTATTCATCCAGATGTATTTCTTTGATCCTGTTCCAGTAGTTCTCCACAGTAAATTTTTCTTCTTCGGGTAGATCTTGTAAGGCTTGGAACCTGTTGTTGAGAACTATCTTGAGTTCGTTGAGTCTTCCATGTTTTTTATTGACCTTGTGAGTTTTCTAGTAATGCAAATATAATCGATCTGGTTCTCTGTAGTGTGATCCAGTGAGACCCATGTAGTTCTGTATAAGCGTCTGCGTGGGAATATAGTGCTACCTACAACTACCTTGTCGAATGCACGTAAATTTGCAAATCTGTCGTCGTTCTCCTTCCTTTCTCCCAGTTAGTTCATGTCGTCACACGATATCTCCATACATAGAATAGTCCATTCCAACCTTAGCTTTTGCGCCTCCAGTAAGGATGGTAAAGTCTTTTCACGAGAATTTCTCTATGATTGATTGCAGCCTTTCATAAAACTGATCGTTGTCATCGCCGTTGCTATCATGGGTTGTTGCATAGCATTGGATAACATTTATTGTGATTAACTCCTTTGTTTCGAAAGATGCTTTGATGATCCTGGATCCATGCTTCTTTAGCCAGCATCAGAGCAACTCTATGCACGTGTGGAGCATATTCTTCTTCGTGACCAGAGTATAGCAGCATTTCTCTTGAAGTTATTTTTTAACCAGCTTGAGTCTAATAAGTTTCACTGATTTCGAGCACAGTCATGTTGTATCTCCTCATTTCCTTAGCTATTTGACTGGTCCTCCCAGTTTCCCTCATTGTTCAGACATTCTGTGTACAAATGTTAACAGTTGCTGTGGTTGTTAGAATATTCATCGGTCTGCTGACTTCCAGAGAATCTCGGTTTTCACCATGAGATGTGATAATTCTTCTGAATGAGGATTCCTCAATTGTAAGGGAAAAGTTAAAATAGTTTAGTTTGTTTATTCTGGTTAGCGTTTCATTAGAAAGCTTGTTTTCTACGGGATTGGGTTGCCGACATCATACAAACGTTCCTTCTTTACTCCCAATTTGTCCAAACACTCCATTTACCTGTATCAATTCATGCTCTGGTTGATGAGGTTAGATTTGTTCATAAATATCTCACATTAGTTAGTTTAGTATTAGCTTTTACGCCAGAATAAGGTTAACGGAGAATTGATTGAAATTCATTTTGCTCGTATTATTAAGAGCGAAGGGTTCTGTCGCAATAAATCAAACTACCTTCGATAGGTGATGCTTGCTGTTTTTTTGAAATCGGGCTTTTCTGCTGCACATATGCTTGGAAATTTCTGGTCCACTATCTGTTTGTCTCTTGAGCCTTGGACATTTGTATTTTTTTGTCGAGTCTTTTTCATTTCTTATGAATATAATTTATCAGCTGCCTGAGTTTACTTGTTTCTGGCATATTGCTCATCTCTGATATATTGCAATATAGTGCCATGTTGTTGGTTCTCTCGATGAGGATATTTGTCGTCTTTCTCACTGAAAGTAAAATGTACTGTCATATGACCTGTGTTTACCACTAATATTTTGCTTTCCAACATGTATCATGAGATGTCAAATTGCAATGAATATTCTATCCTCGTCACATCGCATATCGGTACATAAAGTTTAGAGCTAGTCTCCCAAGCATACACTCTTGTTTGTCACATTCAAGTCAGTTCTACTTGCCTGTTTTGAACAATCTTACCTCTTGGTATTTTTATGATACTTTAGTACGGCTTCGTAACAAACGAAGTCGAACACGTACCCTGCAAACGCCATAAAATATGCTTGGCTTTACGACCAAGAAGAAACGCAACTCCGCACAGTTCGCCACAGTCCGCAGTCACTTTTCTGTACCTCTGTTCATTCTACTAGTACATATTTAACGATTAATTGATGCATCCAGTTATAATGCGAACGACAATGCACATTGCCTCCGCGTTTTGTGGTTATCACTCATCGCAGTACAACGACGAAGACCATCTATTGGATCCGAATCCACTAGTCCATAATCAACATACTTCACTCCACTGCTGATTATTAGAACATGTTCATATTCCCCCATTCCTTATTTTCATATTCTGTCGGCACCAGATATCGATTTCTGCTATATTCTACCTTACTTATTTTCGCGATTTATCCCTCTGTCATATTCGCAAGCGACAAGCGGCTTATTACTTAGTTTCCATGGCATTTGGAGTTGCTCGTACGATCGCGTTGCTTTATCGTCCAGACAGTCACGACATAAATTTATATTAATTTTTATACGCTTGGCAACTTGCTCATGATCGCATACTGACATTTTATTATTGTCAGCGTCTTTATGATACTGATTTTCTGTCTACTTAAATATGGCACTTTCGTATAATACTCACCACTCACGTGACATTGCACTCTATCAGGTAAAAAGCAAATTTTTTCGCTACTTATTGTTAACATTACCTACATACATCCTCAGTGATATTTTCAAAAACAGACATTTTTCCGTATGATGTATTATTTTTTACAGAGGGGAATTATGTGGCTGGTACCATGTCAAGTACACATAAACTATTCTATTTACTGTCACTTATTCACTCATTAACTTTCACTGCTTTTATGTGGTCTCATGTGCGTTAATTACTTATCCTATTCATCATGTGCTTGTAAATTATTTTTGTTTGATTATAATTATTCATTCACGCCTGATTAAATCGAGTTAAGTCACTTGCCCCCTTCATTTCATGTCATTTTGCTTCGCTTTTCTCTATCCTCTTTGCTCCGTTTCCTTGATTATCTGTCCATACCAACGATTGTGTGAAATAAACATATTCGAAATTCGTTATTTTATTTGACTTATTTTAATTCCGTTACTCACTAACAACGGTTAAGATGATGGTCATATACGAGGGTGGCCGGGGTGCATATTTCGACGACAATGGTCCATACTATCTACATGGAGTCAGATATCGTGCCAATAAATTGATTAGCCCAACGGTGAACCTTGCGCATCAACAAACGCTTAAGAGAAGGCGCTCGCACTCCACACTTTTCATGGAGGAACTCAATGCAGCTTATGATCATACCACTACTAATATATCTTGAAACAGAACAGTCATTGAGCCAGGTCCTAATTTAAACACATAAAAGCCTCCAACATTCAGAACACCATGGTACAAAATATAATGCCTTCATAAGCTAAGGAAGTATGTTTATACTATAGCTTCATTACTTTCCTTTCTAAATGGAGGTTGACAGCAGTTTCTTAGTCGAACAACCTGAGCTGTTACAAGTCCTCTGTAGAAAGAAAATCTAGGCCTACGACTAAACTTGTACTGTCTCCTAATAACTTCGCAGCCATCTGAATATCGTGATCTCAGGTTAGGCATCTAAAAACTTTCGGTGCCAAATTTTCTTACATGGCGAGTTTCTTACTGCGGTTGTACTTCAAAAAACTAAGAATGATGAAGTGTTTCTATGCAATTCAATCATCCTAACTGTGATGACATGCTGTTTGTTAGAGCTAAATAATTGGACGAGTGCAAAAATAAATCAGGTGAGTTAAGAGTTTCCTTGAAGTAATCTAACTGGCGGCCACTTTTTCATTGAGCAAATGAAACTAGAAGTATATCAAACAAGAGTCCAGTTAAATGAAGTAGTGTGCACAAACTAAGGTTATTGAAACGTCATCTACTTGAAGCGAATAAGAATCTCATGCAACAAATCAGGAGGAGAAATTAATAGAGCAACCGATAAGAAATGTAAGAACCAGGAGTGAAAGAGTGAAGAACAACTTTTAAACTTTATAGAACATGTTTAAAGTCTATGTCAATTTAATACAGTAGATCTACTTGAAAGCCATCAATTCAAAACACTATGTAACCACTGTAAGGAAAATTATCAAAGGGCAATTACTTAAGTGTGACATCACGCTGTTTGTACTGAAAATAGTTTCCTTCTGGAATCACATCCTAGCTGGTTTACCCACAGTCCATTCTAGGGATTCCTTCAAGAGGAAACTTTATATCTATGAACTTGTAAAAGGATTGCCTACTTCCTAATATGCACTACCCTAACATGAACCTTTAGCCACTGTATAGCTCCAACTAAATGATCGGAAAATTGCATGAGGGCTAATGGTTCTAATAATACTACTGCCTTAATTCAAATATGTCGAAAACGTCAGATACCCCAAGAACATACCAAAATACAAAAATCTGTCAGCTTCACTAAAATTGTCTCAATCTATGACGCAAAATAGATATTTTCGGTACTTTCATGATTCCAAAATCATTTTTGTTTTTATAATAGATCAACTAGCTAATTTCAGCATTTCATAAGGGTATTGGATATTGAACACTAAAGCCTTCTATTCGACCCTAACGTTGCACAAAGGTTAGAAGCTCGAAGTTATGTCTCTAACACATTCACGAAACGTTCATGTAGTGTTTTCATGGCACAATAAAGATACATTTAAATCGGAGTAGGGAGGTCGTCAAAATGTTCGCTTCTTATGAAAACTAGACGTCGCAACTCGATCGTTTGCTAGTAAGATTTAAATCGTGCTTTGGGCGAGACTCTAATTTAGGGACGAGCCAATCAGAAGCGTTTGTGCCGTTTATAGGTCACAGAGCCAAGTTTAACACCTGATGCTCACATATGATCGGTTTACAGCAGATTTTAGAAAAGGGATGATTATTGAGAGGCTACAAGAGATAGGATTACTAAAAAGTTCTTGTACGTGAGATTGCGGTTATCAAATGACTGCAGTAAAGTGTGCAAATAACCGTGGTGAGATTATATTTCGTTGTCCTTCATGTTGGAGGAGAAAGTCTGCTAGAACGGGGACTTTCTCTGCTCGATTGCTACTGAAACTGAATCAGATTATGATAATAGTTGCAAATTGGGTAATAAATACACCAGTAACACTGGTTGCGGCGTTTGCAGTTGTTTATGAAAATTCAGCAGTCCAGTGGTATGAGTACTGCCGTGCAACTAAAATAACACTTGTACACCAATCATTCGGAGGAGTAGGATGTATCATGCAGACAGATAAAACGGCAGTGAGAAAGCGAAAATACAACAGGGGACGTAGTATAAAGTAGGATTGTGTAAGTAGCATTTCCGTAAATATACTCGACAGGTACTTGGAATTTATGACTTTTTATACCGTATGCAATATGATTTCAAAACATCTGAAACTTTAGCAAACCTTGATAAGTTTTTAAATCACGTGAAATAAGTATATTCACTGTAATCCATTAGTTTCTTCTAATATATTTCTACGTTATACTAGGTGTCTTGTGATTGGCTATTATTCTCAAGGTCACTCAAAACTCGTTCAAAGGTCGTCCCTAAATTATAGTCTCGCCGTGCTTTGCATTTAGACCAAACTTCCATATATCGCCCGATATTTCCCAGATTATCGCACGTTCTTCCTTCTTGGATCTTCGTCCTCCATAAATCGGTATAGCAGTCATTAAGTGTAGGTTATTTTGTTCGTTTCCACCTTTGCACTAATCAAAAGGCATTATCAGTTCGCTAAAATAAATTAGGCTTCTCAATGTACCATGGACTTTATATGTATGACTTTTTAGACAGGAGCTCTTCTTCTACTACTCAAAAACCGATCAGGCCTACATTATGACATTTCGTCTTCGTGAATAATTAAGTAACTGTAATTCTTCAAATGAACATACGTTATAAATTCATTTAGCGCTCGAAATGATCTTAGATATACAAAATGGTAATGAGTCTCCTTATTCTACTTATCAGGACCATCATTTTAGCGTGTGAATCAAAAAGCACCAAGATCTCTTAATACATTTTGAAGTGTTACGGCACTGTAATCAACCATTTGTCCATGTTCTCTGTTTAAAAGCTAATTAGGGTATTCAATTTCCAAACCCGTTATTGGAACACGATTGAAACTAGTGACAACTGAGGGTTAGGTAATTTGAGTACTGGGCTACTGCTATTCTAGAGGCCGTGATAAACAACTGTTGTGACTGGGACGAGTTAATGCGTTGGCTACTTGTTATAACTGGGAAAGAACTGTCTTCCATTGCTTGTTACGGCTGAAAAAAGACTGATACAGATCAATATAAGGGAGTAAGACTGCACAAACGATTGATCCATTCTAGCTCTAGACCTATTATAAACCGCAACATTAAAGGCATATCACATTGTCATTCGGTTATCTGGTAAAACTCAAATGTGTCAAGCAGAACAGCGATTGACGCTAATTCATCAGCAATTTAGTGTTTGTATACAATTTGCGGTATCAATGGATTAACTGTTTCAACTAGTAAATATAACTAGATTACTGAATTACGTACTTGTTCCCTGCTGACACTAATGTAGGGTCATTTTTAACAGCTTAAGATAAAGAATACACATGTTTAACACTGAAAGTACGCTGATCATTTGCTAGAATCTAGTCGCGATAGGTTTCAAAACATGTTCCTTTAAATTAACGATTGCTTTGATACTTGCAGAATTTTTCAATTTATGAGCAAAGTGTCAAGCGAAATTCAAATGGTAAATTCTATTGAAGTGGGTATTTCTTTTACGGGGAGTACGGTTTGATATTTTAATTTAGCGTGGTTCACTTTGTGCGAAGGCTAGTAAAGATCTGAACGAATTTTAACAGAGCATTTATGTCTACTTCGAGTTTCTTTGAATTCTATCAGTTCTAAAAATATTCCAAAACATATAATTACATCACGGGTTGAAAACTTACGGATACCTAGAAATAGTTCTTCATGAAGTCATTTTGTTTATCTTTCTCATTGCTTCACTATGCATATCAAATTTCTATTTGTTTTTTAGTTTTTATAAAGATCACTGTATGTCGACATTCAAATTTTACTATAATGTTCTGTGTACATTAACCCGAAAATATGCAAAAAAAGGGAAAACAAGTTAGTTCTAAATTGACTTGTTTCATTTCGTTAGCCAAAGGAATTGCCGCTGTCGCTAAAATACGTGAAATCAATGTGGAGACAGATCCAGAGAAAATTGTAAACTGTTGCTGTATTAATTATAGAATCGGTGAACAACCTATTCCACTGAAGCCAGATAAGTATGAATTTTTTCATAATTAATCACCGTAGTGAGTATCCGGATTGGCTCTGGAAATTACGGATAGATAGAGGTCCTCTCCCTCTTGACGAGGTTGATAAAAATTCCTACTATTATTGGAGACGAATTAGGAAAATGAACCGTAACCTGACCAATAAGTTGGCTTCCGTGGATGGATGGCATAGGAAGGATCATCGGTCGTTTGAAAACCACGCCCTTCGGTTTTATGGTAACATATACTTAGCTGTTAGTGAATGGTCTAATTCAAAGAAACTACTGGAAAATAAAGATTAATCTATACCACCTTGTATTTACACAGTACGCCCAAGTATGATTTTTATCTGCAAAATAAGTTGCAAGTCACCTGATATTCAATCGGAAACTATTATGGCAATTCGTTCCATTCAGTGATGGCTTTTAAAATCATAAGTAGTGAATGATAACGTATTGTGGTTTGTCCTGTCACTTTCTTATGTGTGAGTAGCTTTCATTTCTCAGTAAAATATACCTGTTCACAGTTATTAGTAGAACAGTTAACCTACAATATTTATCTTGACCTACTACACAACAGCTCCAAAAGATTCTGAACTGTATGTAAGGGTCTTAACAATTAGGACTCAACAGTTATTCTGATACTAGACAAGGATTTAAATTTATAGATCACGCACCTAAACACAAGAAGTTCATTTGAAAAGCCCATCGTAACAATTTACTTGCAAATGGGAAAGTAAAATATGTCTCCTACAGCTTCACGCACATTATTTATTTTTAATCAGTACACAATCATCGCCTATAGGATACGAGGATATCTGCCTCAAATTAATAAGTCAAGTGTGAGTCAGACTATTTCGGAAAAAAACGACACTCATCTACTCCTAGTCCAGACGCTTAGAACGATGGGCGGAACACTTTAAGGAGCAGTTCAGCTGGCCTTCAGCTACTCTACAACTACTCACCATTCCCAGACAGTGTGAACGGAACATTGAAGTAGATCCTCCAACTCGAGCTGAAGTTCAAAAGGCTATAGTTAATCTAAAACGAGGAAGGGCAGCTGATCCAGATGGATTGGTTCCAGAGGTCTTTAACGATGGTTTTCCAGTTTTAGCGATTAGGTGGTCTAATATTTTAGCTAAAATCTGGGAGTTAGACGTTATTCCATCTAACTGGTCACAATCACTTATCGTCCCAATATTTAAGAAAGGGTCAAAATCATCCTGTGACAACAATAGAGGGATTAGTTTAACTAATATAGTATCTAAAATACTAGCCTCGATAATTATCGGACGCCTAACTAAGACTCGTGAACTGCAAACACGAGAGAATCAAGCTGGCTTCAGACCTGGTCGTGGCTGCATCGACCACATATTCACCATTCGTCAGGTTCTAGAACACAGGCATACTTATAGGCGTCCGACAATGGTGGTATTCCTTGACTTAAAAGCAGCGTTTGACTCTGTTGACAGAGAGGTTCTGTGGCAGTGTCTGTCATTGAAAGGCCTACCTCAGAAGTACATAAACCTTGTAGAGGCTCTTTACTCAAACACTACTAGTCGAGTGAGAGATTATGGCGAACTGTCATCCGCTTTCGCAACCTCAAGTAGTGTCTGTCAAGGTTGTCCACTTTCTCCATTTTTCTTTAACTTCATCATAGATCTGCTGATGGAAATAACGCTCTCATCGACTGAATTCTCGGGCATTGGTCTCCTACCAGGAGGTCCACTTATCCACTTAGAATAAGCAGATGACATAGTCCTGTTTGGTGAAGACGCTGATAAAATGCAGAGTCTTTTGGTAGCACTAAGCAACAATGCCAGGATGTTTGGGATGCGCTTCTCTCCCTCTAAATGCAAGTTGTTGCTTCTGGACTGGTCTGCGTCAACACCTGAACTAAGGATAGGGGGTGAAGTAGTCGAACGCGTCGACAACTTCACTTATCTTGGAAGTCTGATCAGCCCTAATGGGTTGGTGTCTGACGAAATCTCAGCACGGATTCGGAAAGCTCGTTTGGCTTTTGCTAACTTACGTCATCTATGGCGAAGGCGAGATATCCGTCTATCAACTAAGGGACGAGTATACTGCGCGGCAGTTCGTTCCGTTCTACTATACGACTGCGAAACATGGCCTTTAAGAGTAGAAAATATTCGTAAGTTACTAGTATTCGACCACAGGTGCCTTAGAAATATTGCGGGTATGTGCTGGGATCACCGTGTAAGTAATAGTGAGGTTAGACGCAGGGTATTAGGGAATGATGGTAAATCAGTTGATAAGGTTATGAATCTTCATCGACTGAGATGGTTGGGCCACGTGCTGCGTATGCCTGAACACCGATTACCACGACGCGTAATGCTAACCGGTGTTAGGGATAATTGGAAGAAAGCTAGGTGCGGCCAAACCAAAACGTGGCATCAGTGCTTGAAGTCACTAACTTCTGGTCTGAGCCATGTTGGTAGATGCAGACTGCCTGGTTGGGGTCCGCGTGACTATCGTAACCAATGGTTGGAGACTCTTGGTGACATGGCTCTGAATTGATCACAATAGCGTCGGTGTATACACTCTCTGTCTTCCTTAAATTAAGAGATTAAAATCGCTTCGTATCTTTCTTTCTACCAACTAATTCTTTTTTCCTGTACTATGTCTTTATATGCAATCTTTCTTCTATATATTACCACCACTGAATTAACTACTTCTCTGAATCCGGTGTTCATCATGTTGTACTAATGCGGTATGGCAACTTGGACCGATGCGTATACGTGCCTGGTCCTACGTTGCAGCGGACTGACTGGATGACAGAGATACTCTGATTGAAGAACGTACTGAACCATCCAGAATTTGATGAAGTACAAGTGCCTGACGATCCTAGAATAAAACTATTTTCTCACTCATCGTCATCAAGGGCATGTGTAACGCACGTGATTATTGTCAGGGTATAAGCGATTTACTAATCATGTCTAAAACAATTAGTTTCGTTATATTTCTCAGATGTGTGGATGTCGTTGAGTAGTTCGGCAGTTTTTTGTATCATAAACGTGTTGATATTGCTCGCCACCGGTGGTTATTCTTGGTACCTGGCTTCCTTGTACTCTAGACAAAACTGGTTTAACCATTTGTTGATGATTGATGTATTTAAAGTGTCTAATAACATCGCATTTTTTATACGGAGACATAGATTGACCATAATTGCCTTACCTCACTATTGCCCCCAAGTTCACAATGTCTAGAAATTCCTATACATTATTCTGAGTTCTCATATTCTTAATTAGAATTAAATTTGTGTTAGCATTTGTTGGTAATAATATTAAAATAATGATCTCTGAAAATTAAATTTGTTACGATACAACCATATCAAGGTTTTTAAATATGATGATAAGAGTTGTCAGTGGTTTATAGGTTGATTTTGTTTAAATGAGCTCAAATAGAGCAATGTGTAGTTTCCAAGTAGAATAACCTCAGACATCCTCTAATTTCTAAATTCGCTAATCGGTCCACAAATTTTACGTACTTTTTTCCAACATCAAGTTTCGAAATATGTACCAATGTATCAAAAACAATCAGCTTCTGACTAACTTATTAGTGGGGAAAATTTCATCACAGAGTCATCTTTCATTGTTAGCGCTTCCCTAATTTTGGGAACTAAATGTATACAAGATCGACTTGGATAATTTACGTGGTATGTATTATCCTCATTTAGCCCACGTAATATTTTACGTTGGTAATTGTGCTACTTATTTAAATTACTAGTAGTGTAGAGAAATATGTATATTAACAGTGTGAGGGGTTTGTTTACAAATTTTAATTCCTATCCACATTACCCAAACACTATTTCCAGGTTAACAGAGTAAGCCGTTTTCCATCTGGTGATATATGAAATAAACTCAGAAATCTGTTGTTTATAACCATTTTGTCTCTCTGTGAACGTACTTCCTTTATTTCTCAACTGGATGGCACCAACGAAATATGATTTACGATGCAGTTAGATCGTAACGTTTCTACTTTTGTATAAATGCGTTGGCTAAACGCCAGAAGCATGCATTATAGCGGAATCAGACGGCATATTATTACGTGAATCACAGTCTAAATACCTGGCTTGGGGGAACTGGTTAACCTAAAAATAGATATATTCTGATGATCAGTTTGTTTCTAGATAGAATAATTTGTTATTTTGAATGTTTCTGTTACTTATCCTTGACGGAGAAAACGTGTATGAACCTAATAAAAAGTCATAAAAATGACTGTTAAACCAGAATCTTAGTTTTTGAATCACTTCCCAGTTCCTTCCAATTATGCTTCGATTTCATTTTTATTCTTAAGGTTTAAACTCGTCCTGCAATCATGTAGACGTATTTGTCTGTCCAACATTTGTCGTTTTACATCTTTAACTAGCGATTATCCAAAGGTGATAGTTTGGTTTATTAAGAGGTTTAGAAAAATTTGGGGTAGAGTGAAGGAGACTGACAACTGTATGATTGAGGAACACACCTATTGGATATCTAGTGGTCATCTTGGTAATATAGAACTGAATCCCATACTGATCAGTAATTGCAAACCAAAATCCGACAAATTTCTGCAACTAGATAGATATTTCAGGTTTATGTTGCAAGTACGTAGTTTTTTCACACATAATTCTCTTTATCATTTCAAAAAGAGCAAGTACAACGATCCTAGCAGAAAAGCATGGATTCATGAAAGTCTTTAGTTGGAAGCTATGTTAAAGACATTAGTATAGCAAGGATGTAAATAAATTTACTAGACAGAATATTGCAAATATATACCTTATGTAAAAGAAAATTCTGCAACATAGCGACAACAGTTCAAACAGCCAGAAACAAGTGAGTAAACGGCGATAGGAACAAAATGAGTAAAGGTTAGTTAATAAAATAAGATCACCACTAATCTGGAAGAGTTCGGCTGTCTACTAATACATAGGCAGATTGCAGGGTATCGACCTGATGTCCTGTATCCAAGAGGTGTTCAGTGATTGCACAGTTTAGAGTCTTTCTGAAGCTTTTTGGAACGTGATCGAAAAACTAAAATATCCCCTCCTTTCTGTGCGGCCAATGTGGTTACTTTGGCAGAAACATGTAAATTTATAAATACAGTTGCCGGTAACACGAAAGGGGTACTTTTCAACCTTTCATTGATTTATTGAGCACGTTTTATACAGAATTAATAGTTTAGCTGCCGGTTAACTCCCGGCTAGTGCAATGTTCAGCCTCTTGCTAATTATGCTTGCGAAAAATGTTGTAGAGTGTAATAGGAAACCAGTGTCCACAAGCAAAATTGTCTGATTCGCATTGACCAAAAGTGAAGGTAAACAAATGACATTGTTTTGTTTTAGGTATGTAATTTGTATCAAGTTGCTTGAAGAGAGATTGTATGTAATGAGCGTAATTGTCGAGAATAAAGAATAATCTATCTAGTGTTTTCGTATTAGTCTTGTGCGGAGCGTGATCTGACCATTACTGTTCATAATTAGTGCCTTACATCTGATTCCGGTTAACTATCCACGTATCTTGTATTTCATTTCGTCATAGTAAATTTAGTACAAAATACAAGCTGAAATACGAAAAACAACGAGAATACGTATAACTTCGCCTGTAGGTCTTTTATTTGAATTAGAAGATTTGGACAAGTAGTATAGCAGCACCCTCTGCATCAGGAGGCTTCAACATGCACAAGAAAAGAGGATCCTCAAATACAACACGTAAAACGCCAACTCAGTTGCTTTGAATAACCGATTTTCTTAAGAAATCAATTTATTATCTAAAACATTCCATGTTACAAGAACTAGTCCCGTTTCTTGCAATAATGGTACAGAAA